GAAATCTTCGGTCAGTAGACTCATGATGTTATTAAGACTTTTACTCCAGATGTAACTGAGAGACCTTGATTATGCCACTGTACCAGATATAACAACGAAGCACAATTTTAGTTATAATTTGTCCACTGGTCCCGCATGCTCTAGCATGACCTCACCAGAAGACTATTCTGCCCTGTTGCTCACAGATCAGCGGCTCAGTCAATTACACGGTGAGGTGCATTCATTATTCAGGGGAATCAGCAGTTATAAGAACATTTTACGCCACGAATAAGATTCAAAGTCAATTCATCAAAAGTGCGAAGCTAACTGACAATTCATTGTACCACTGCTCTATACTGCTGTTCAGTCTTAAGCGTGTGTTAACCAGAAGTCATCGAAGATTGAAAGCAGTGTTATAATGCCGTATATTTTCAGTGAAGGCCAAAGTTGTGAACAGCAAAACTTGAAGCACGTGATGAAAGTGCAGTGAAGTGAAAAAAATTTGGGCGATGATTTCCATACTTTGGGCAGTGTTTACAAGTACTGCTTCAATTTAGTATTAAAATTTTACTTTAATACTAAATTGAAGCAGTACTTGAAAACACCGCCCTGGTGATGTATATATATTTATTTATTTATTTTTAGGCATGAAGACTACACAACGCAGCATGTAAAAGTGCATGTATGGGGATAACAAGAAGTCGGAAGACGAACGAATGGGTGGAAGCACAAGCGGGTGCTTATTAGAGCGAAGAAGTTGAAATGGACATGAGCAAGAATGTTTCAAGAAGAACTGACCATCGTGGGAATAAAGTGGCAATGGACTGCATACTAAATGACAGCAAACTGCCCGTGGGAAGATCGCCGGATAGATTACAAGACGAGTTGAAAAAATTTGTCGTAACGCGAATAAAAACTCAGGAGATAATTTTATGTCGAGACCTTGGAGAAGCCTTTGTCCATCAGTGGATCGATAAGGCTGGTGATAATGATTATTGATTTACTATTAATTTGTCAGATTCTTATACATTCCGTTGGTAGAATAACAGTCTCTTTTCACTTCGCGGATTTGCACTACGTAATCGTATTATCACCTTACTGGCAGTCGCCTAGGGGGGGGTCCGCTTGAGCAGGCATATCCCCATGGCTTTTAAGTATCTGCAGTGCATGAATGCGAAGCCGCGTCATTGCGATGGGACGAACAGAAACTTCTTCAGACATGCCGGTAATCATGTTCATAGTATGACTTTGCCAAGCTATAATCAACCTGTGTCGCAGTCAATGGCGGTGAATTCTTCCGAAATGGGATAAACTAAAAATATTGCCCATTTTTACAGTTTCCAACTTATCCTTGTCTCCCTTCATTATTTGTTTCATGTAACTATTTAAGCGTCCGAGAGCTTTGCTGAAAGCAGTGTTGATTCCCCGGGCGACAGTAGCGCTGTATGATCAGTCGGAGTGCCGTTCCTCTTCGTCCCTCAACGCATTTAGATGCTGCACTTCTGCCACTCCTCCTGTTCGCGTCTTGTCTGACGGCGCATCATGCCATTGGGTTGTGGCTGGCTCGCTTTGGAAACTGTAATGACGAAGCGAACACGAGTGTACCGGTGAAACTGTTGAACTGCACGTCGACGTCCTCCTGTTGACGATGTTCAGCGTCACCGAGTAAGAAACATGCGGTCCACTGACGAAAAGATGATGCGAGGCAGTGGAAGATCCTCCATTCCACAGTTTGAGAACAGTCGACCTCAGATCAGTGGTGTCATGTACCTGGCAGAAGATGTCACGCTAAGTCGGAGAGCTGTTTAATAATTTCTTTGCATCAAAACGTTTTTTGAAAATATTTTTTCGATAATATTTATTGCTTTATCAGTGAATGAGACACATGGTTTTCGTGTCCTTCCACGGACACTCAAGTAAATAAACTGAAACTGAAAATATGAAAAGCTTCGAAAAAAAATGCCCGGAATGATTTTTGACGTATGTTTTGTTCTACTGGCGTCGTGCCTCATTGCCGCGACTGCAAACTTCTCTGTTACGTTTTACTTCATCGGAGGCGCACATGCAAAAAAATTCTGAACAAACACATCGTGAGAAAATAATCAGTATCTAAGGTTCGGCAGCGTTGGTCTATACACCTGAGCGGTGCCTCACCAACGCGAACGCTGCGCGAGTCACGGAAGGTTAGAATGTTCAACTGCAACGAAAGAGAGGCCCGGTGCCAGGCCAGCTGCAGACCTCATGAAGGTCTGTTCGCGGCCGTGCGATGCCCGGTGAGTTCCTATTCCACAACGGAGTCTATTTGAATCCTACTACGAACTTCGACATCGAGGCAGAAACTTTTTACAGACGATTGGTGACCGTAACGCGTCACTCATTTCCGGTATCAAACAAGAACATGAGGTGGCGGGGGCGGTGGCGAACGCGTCATGCGGCGTTTCAGTCACAGGACTGTTTGTTACATTCTTCCAATTGAATCGAATCATTCGGCGCACAGTTGAACTTCCCCGCGTGACAATAGCGTATCCTAAACAGGCGTCGTTAAACGACATTCACATGACAAGGCTACGAACAACGCCCTTGGTCTACCTTTGTCGGAAGCCACCGTTGCATGGCTTTGAGCAGTCGCTCCACACCTCCCACGTCTCCCATTGGTCCGTTTGGCATGGCTCGATGAAGCAGCCCGTGTACTCCACATAACTACCAGAACATTCAGACTCGAACCTACAAGCGGCGCATACAATTCTATATTAGGCAGCTCGTCGGTCAACCGTTAACATTGCGTTTCATCATGCAAGTAAACTCCCAAAAACTCAGAGGCTAACACCTCCTGGCCTTCCTAACACATTTGCAGGCGAGTTTCGTCATTATACTAGGATCCATCATTTTATTCATTTCATTTCATTCATTATTTATTCATTTACACCCGGGTAGCGGGTACAGCTTCTTTAGGAAGCCCTTCGACCGTCACAAAGAAAAATTCTGTAGTATCGCATCTAAAGCAAGACAACGCCACATCTTTTGTATAATAGAACCACTTGATGCGCTATCTGCGCCGGACTATTTCCCTGCGGCCTTACAACGAAAG